TTTTTTTAAGGTTGTATTCTAAGTAAACTATACATTTATATAAAAAATCATATATTGTGAATTAAATGTTATTAAAATAATATTACATTTTGGCGTTAAAATTAGAAAAAAATGTATGTATATTGTGTAAAAATATAATAAAATCATACATTGGGTAAATTGTTGAGGCACAATTTTTTTTATATAATTCAAACGTTATTTCATTCGATGAAAATTCGTCAATGATGTTTCCAATATGAGTTCCTGATTTTTTTTTTTAGATTTAGGTGTATTGACATGGTGTTTACATGACTTTGAGATTTAATTTGCATCTTAGATTGTATTTCAAACAGTATGTCAATGATTCAAAAATATTTGGAGGAGCAGTATTGAATGAGGTGTTGAATATACCGTAGAACGATACACAGGCATTTGTGGTCAAAGATAGTACACCGGTACTACAGTATACCAGTATGTCAACCCAAATCATTATATACCGGTATTACCGTTAGCCGTTTGGAAATTTACCCATTCGTCATACCTTTTTTGACGGAGCATTTTGGGAATTTACTTTTTCGTAAGACGTTTTTCAACGGGAGCCGTTTGGGAATAAGCAAAGAATGAACGGGAACCGTTTGGGATGCACCGAAGTATATTATTTAAATTTCTATTAGATACCTATTACTTATGTCATCCTACACTGTAGCAAGGAAGTACATAATATTAGCAGTATAATCAAAAAATAAAATTTTAAAAATGCTTACTAAAATATTATGGAAAAAAATAAGTTGGGTAAGCTTAACTGAAACCGGATGTAGAAGATAAAAAAATTCATTTCACTTCACCTACCTTGGTGCGGGGTGATTTATTGAGATATTCAATTATTTCAATATGAAGAAAAGTCATTACGATAATCGAAGAACCGTCCTGAGCAGATATATAGGTTGAAAAAAGCGTACTTTCTGTTATTGCATCGACATCTGTTAATCGTTATCGGTAATTTTATGTAACTCATAGGTTATATAGGTCAGGTTACAACAAAAATAATATACCTTTTTATATGTCTATGGTTAGGCTTGGACGCTTGGTTGGTTTTGTGTTTTTAATTTTTGATAAAATTGCATGCCCAACGTTAATTTTCAATCATTTTTACAAATAAGTTTTGATTTTCATGCCTAAAATATGTACTTAATACAACTTTGGTACGACGTTAAAATCCTGATTCAGATAATTTATTGTTAACAACTTGTATTAGAATTAGATACAAACTTACAAGATTTAAAAACTTTGACTTGGGTTCAAAAATCATCCTGCAATATTATATTATCCTGCAGTGTGATTATATTCTGCACTTTTATTGATGGCGATAAACCCAATAATTTTATTACGTTTAATAACGTATTAATATTGTGGATAATGAATGAAATTAAATGTTGTTTTAAGTAATATTAAAGTATATATAGATATGTGTTAAAAAGTGGCAAATCACGTTTGAACCAGTTGGATACCTAATTAATATTTGAACTACATATTGAAATGCAACCTGTTTGGACCAATTATTTATACATTTACTATAGGTACTAGGTAATAAAGTTGTTAATTTTATAGCACATATTATATTAATCGGTGCCACCCTATACCAAAGCATATTATAATATTAGGTGGTATACGGGCACAAATATTTAAAGAATAAAACACCCAATATTCGGGGTGGCTTTGTGATTCGTCCCTCCGATTTCTCACCCCACGTATGATAATACCGTCGTCGGCCACAATAATATAATAACGGTATTCAGACCTATATAAGTATGACTGATTCGAAGCGACATTAAATAATTCCCAATAACACGTAATGTCGTAATATAATATTTTATATGTCGTGTGACTATTTACCAAGGTTTCATTTTTTGTGTTTACCGGATAGGTACCTAAACATTAATGACTAATACATCATATATTTATACGCAATTAATTAATAACAATAATAAAACATATTCTACAAAAAGCGTCACTGATGCGATAAATAACTGTCATGCAAATATTTTTTACCAAAGCACTGCCTCCATGAACCACCCGACTATCCTCAGGAAACAGACACGAGTTCCGGTCGATAAAGAGAGGAAATTGCTCGTCTTAGACTAGTCTCGTCGACATTTCGTTGTACTGTATATCCCTTTATAGGCACTTGTGGAAAACGAAACGAAAACAGTTGGTTTTAGTTTGAAATTCGTGTCCGGATCTTCGTCGAACTACCACAACACCATACAATATACTGGGAAATCTTTAAATACACTTTATAGGTACCTGACACAATACCGGTCGTTTAAATTGTATCCGTTATCTGGAGATGCCCGCTATTCAGAGGGTTTAGATTTTAGTAGAAATTGTGTAATTCGTCTCCCAAAAAAAACACCCGTTATTTAGAAGTGTCCGTTAGGGGAGGTTCCACTATAGTATAATATATACGAACGGCTACACGAATATGTTTTTGTTAAGGCCGATGACCATTGGTAAATATTGTGGTTAGTCACGCGCTGCGAGTATACCGCATAACCGTGCATAATAAATATGGACGGGGGTCGCAACGGCCGAAGTTACCTTGGTTTCGGAGGACGATAAGCTATAGAACCTCACCGTGAAATTTTCACACAAACGCTTAAAGCCAAAAATGCATATTTTTGACAATATTCTAAAATTAAAGCCACGTAATAACCACTGACGAAGATACCGCTGACCATATTGCTTGCCGTAGGTATACTCACTGTAATGTTAATGGGACAATTTAAAAATGGTCTTTGATGCCGTTTTCTTCACGACCGTGTCGAACATCTGATTTTCAACCACACAGCGTTTTCCGAACTTACATATCCACATCATAATAACAACGTGTTAATAAAACATTCGAAATTACGTAGCACCAAGCGGGATATATTGCTACCTGAAAATATACTGCTCCGATAATCACTAGCGTATCTCAGGGGCAACGCCTGGGGGCGGGCTGGCTATAAATTAATATAATTGAACTTGTCCTGACTGACTCACAGACTGATCTACATAGATCCTAAATAATGATAGCTCGAGGCTTGCAATTTACACTGTGCCTTAGTACAACCAAGCCAACCATGTAAGTGTGAACTAAGATAGCATTTTCCAAAATTCATATTTTAAAGTGGTGCTAGCACAAGTATTTTGAGATTCTAGATGATCGATAGAAATCTTTAAGTTTTAAACATCATACATTCATACACCGAATATTCAATAAACGAATTGAACTAAGTTTGTTGAAGAGTTGACACTTTTATGTTTTAACTGTCAACGAAGTGAACAAGATCAGCTACCTAGTATAATATAAATATATTGAATAGGTTTGGAAAACATTTGTTAAATAATCTCGTAACTCGCTGAATGAGATAATGTTTTGTATACAACTATATTGTCTTCGATTAAATTTATATGATGGTGACATAAATCTAGGTAAACATTTGTAAATTAAAAATTCCCAAAAAAATAATGGCCAATAGGTTAAAGTTAAATATATCGATAATTATGGCCAACAGGTAAGATAGTCCAATTTTAAAATTGTATACATATTATATGGGCATTTTTATTTATCGGCCATTTTATATATGGACTTTTTTTACTACCATTATTATTTCCGTGGATAATTTTTTCACGGACATTTTTATACAAATTATACCAGGTGCACATGATATGCGCCTGTTTAAACTTTAGTTATAGGTAACGTATACGAAATAACGCAGTTACTATACCATTTGAATAGCAGCGAAACTGATTTTAAAGATATTATGAAGTTTGAAATCAAAGATGAACATCAAAGGACGTCTGGGTACGATTCTAACGCAAGTGTGTCTGTCTTATAGACATGCGTCCTGAATAACTCATAACGAATTGCGTCTTTATACGATTTATTTAATTAGTAAAACAATGCATTTATTTATTAAACATTGTATAATATTGTATAAAATTACATTGTATAATACCACGGAATATTATTTGGTCTAAACAGGACCAAAACCATTTTTTTTTAATGCTCCCTTTTAACGGATTGTCCTGTTCCAAGAATCATAGGTATGAATCCGGGTTCAGTTTAACTATAACCATTTTAATGATTTCAGTATCCATCTGAGACACGGACACAAGACAAGGGACAAAAATGAGCAATATAATATTATAACATCGTTTTATAACTAACACCATATCATAATAATAATAATAATATAATAACTGTCGAGAAAGATAACATCTTAACATATAGGTATAATATATTATACGAAATTATTACCATCTAAACAATATTTATAATCTCGTGACTTCTATCGTGTGTGGTGTGCAGTGCAGCGGCGGACCGAGTAATAATAGATAATGATGATGCACATTGATGACGACGAAAACCAATCGGCTCTCCAAGACTCGGCGACCAATGATATATGTGTATATTGCGTAACAGAGCAGTTCTAGGTCACCAGCCAGTTGGGTGAAAAATATTGAAATGATCAGCGGAAGGCGGCGACGTCCATACTGCATCTCAAGTTCACGATTATGCCCCCTTCGAGTGGAAGGAAACATTACATCGTAACACTGCCGGGTCCGGCGGGCGGCGGCGGCGTGTACCAGCTATACCGTTGGCGGTCGTGCATCCCGAAGTTATCTCACCGCTGTTACGTAACCGCGGTCGTGGTGGCCGCTGTGAACCGGGGGAAGTGCCGACGGACCGCCGTACGGTCCCCGAGTATAAAAACCGCTGGCCAACGCTGTTCCGGCGTCAAAACTTCACCTCTCACCGGCGCTTATATACCCAATCGCTTCTCACACGCACACCAAACCCGCACGGATCGCGTCGTTTCTGTTGTCGTCTACTCCTCCGATATCTGCACGGTACACGCACGACTGCAGCCGCACCGAGAAGAACGTGACGGCGATCGCTGCCCACCGGTGGTGACATACGTATATATAATTATATATATATATACAGACAGACAGACAACTCCGCGACCATAACCATGGTCGGCACAAGACACTTGGTGAGTAAGCGCGAAAATATAGATCACGCGAGGTATAGATTTAGTGGTAGTAAGTAGGTAATTAATATAACGTAGAAGTGGCGGGTTTCGAGCAATCTCCGATAGCTTCTATTTAGGTATATTGAGCACAAACGGATTCTAAACAGTTGCTGTTCAAACGCAACGAATGTAACGACTGAAGTATAATTTGGTTTATATATATATATATATAGAGTTGAGTCTGGAAATATTTTTAAAGACTATTATGAATCGTAGTAATTATGAATAAGTGTCATTTAACTGTGTATATGAATGTGTGTGTATATACAATATCACCATTGATATCCACCTGTCGGTAACTTAAAAAAATTCCAGTCATTCGCCTCACCACCTAAAACGAGTCAAATACTCATAAACTGTGATGTACAGCATTTCAGTAGTATCGACTATCGTTACACACTGTGACTGGTGCAGAGTGCCGGTGAATTAACATAATTGGAAAATTTTCCATATCCTGACAAGCATATTGGATTGGGTTAACTAATCGGATGAGGTTAAAATATCTGGGCTATAAATACATCAACAATAATGTTTCGCAACGTCTAAGGCCAAACATAATTTAATACGTGCTTGGACGCAATAATTCAAGATTTGTCACAACTCATAACCGTTTACCAGTATTTAGTAGATCGATTTCAAAGAAACTCAAATTATGTTACTTTAACGTTAGGTTTAAATAGTGTAGGTAGATAACCTAACTATATAATTAAATCACTGTTTCGTTACCAAAAAAGTAATTTTGTTAAAGTAATAATTTTTATTCGTGTCACTATATACTACTACCCAACACTGAATTTCACGCATACATATAACAGCATGTTTTATACCAACATAATATAAATTATAATATGGTATATTATACCACCCGTTCACCAAAACTCAACCAACTAGTCGTTATCCAACCAACCCGACTAAAAGTGTTGTTCCAACTAAAAGTTGTTCCGACTCTGTATATATCATGGATGTCGTTACATGCTGGCTATAATAGTATTATAATACGTTTTGGGCCCACAGGTGTTTTTGGCAGTGTACGCCCTATACGCGCAATCGTCAGCCGCCTATCCAGTCTACCAAGAAGACGACCACTACGATGTTCACGACCACGGACACCACCACGGTATACCACCGGCCACATCGTACGCTACCATATCGACGACGCACGTCAAAGTGCAACATCCACAGGCGGCACCCACGAAGTACGCAACACCGTACAAAGTGAGTACCTTATACTGACATTAAACGTATCTACCAATCTTCTCTATCACCGATAAAAGGGATTGTTTGTGTGTGGTGTGCATGTAAGTGATCCACAACCAAATATATGGCACTCGTGGTTTTGAAATTTGATTCATAGGTTGTTCTATAAACCTGAGAATGTGTGCACCTCGAGGCCAAATTCTAAAGTTTGGCATTTTAAAAAAGGGCTCCACTGGGATTTGTTGGCTTACGAAAAATGAATATTTTTTTGTTTGTATGGGGAGTATAAAATAGGTAGTTAATTGGATATAATTTTAATATTATATTTTATACTTGGTCAAAACCACCCAAATTACTGTGTTACAATATGCGTAGTTTACATTTAATGGAGCTTATGTAAATCCTCTATAGGCATTATTTCAATTGTCGTGGACAACGCAGTACAGGAACAACAGCTATAGTATAAGATAAAACAAAAAAATATTTAAAAACACGACAAATTTCGATGAGATGAGCAGGCGTAAGCTATTATATAACCTAACCCGTTCTTCGACTTAAATATTAAATCGTTATTCATTTAAAATAATATTGTATTATGTATAATACCTATTATATATTATAGGACTTTGCGTACCTACCATATTTCAAGACGCACGACTCCGAATAATTTTTATTTTATATTAGACAATAGACGGTAGTGTAAAAATTATATTACATTTCTCGGCATCATATATAACATGTTTATAAAATACCATGTTATGATAATATGTATATGTATTGTATATAATATCATTAATGTGATACGATTTTGTAATGCTTATAAAATATATATTTAATAATTATTATTATAAGTCCTCTCTATATACGGCGACCGCGGAACCCCGTCGGCGTGTGTGTTTAAGAAGTAGGAAGTCTAAAGCTATATACGACGCGTGTATATCCGCCTCACGCAGATACATATATATATATACATTACATCCATACAAACACACAAACATAAAGGTACAATATACGTCGCGTCGTGTATATTATATTCTAGCGCAACGGAACGGACGCCTTTCTCCTGGGAGTTGCGTAAGTTCGGCGGCGCGACGAGATGCGAAGTCGTTAAACTCGCCACTGCGTTACGATTGTTTTTTTCCAACTCGTTCACTTTCCAAGTTCGACAAAGCGGGCGGCCAGTGAGGTTCCCCCGTGTATATATATTATATTATATTATTGCCTCGGAGGTTCGGTAATCGAACTCGATCGTATATAACATTATTATTGAATTATTTACACGCCGCGCCGACGTGGGAGCATATTATAAAATATTATCATTATTATTTACTATACAGTGTTATTCAAAACAAATTATCGTCTGATTTCAAATGCTTATTTATTTTTAGTTTTAGAGTAATATCATCGGTAGGTATAATATGATACATTCATTAAACGAATAATATTTCAAATTTATTTAATGGCATAGATAGGTCCACTTGGTACCTACCTATAATAACGTTCTATGTGACTTTTCTTGATCACACGTACAACGCATCTGGCCGGAACTCAAATCCATTACATGCATATCCGATGCAGCTTACTTCGCTTTTTTAGCTCCTCTGTGGTTTATGACAATCATGGTGGTACACTGGTACCATACACAATACACAGTATCTATAACATATCCCAAAATAGTAAAATATGTATAGTCACATGGCGTATGATTAGGTCGGTTAGGAAACCAGGTGCAAAGCATCGGATGATTATTATTTTGAATAACCCTATAGAGTACGATCAAGCCGTACATAGGCAGAAATATTGTTCGGGGTGCTAATATTATACCGATAACGTATTGGATTTGTATAGGTATTCCAGTGGCGAGTAGGTACAACAGCAACAAAGAAATAGGTTCGACAGTATTTCCGTGGGCGTTAAAGTCCTCCTATATAATATAACTATATAGGTTTTCACATATTATACCGTTGCACATAAATTGCGTGCCACTTGTACCAGTCCCTAGAATTGTGTCTCACTCTCGTCTTCATATACGGGTTAATATGAATTGGGTCTCAAGTTAAATTATACTAAACATATTTTTTTTAGTGGTTTCAAAACTAAATTATTTTTTATTTTTATGAAAATATTTAGTATTACAAAATTAGCCAATGCTTAAAAGTTAATAATATTTATTTGAATATTCCATATACACATAAAAAGTATTATATTTTGTTTTGTTTTCTACTGAATAAAAATATTATCGATTATTCGGACTTCCCAACCGATAAGTAACTATAGTATATGCTTACACAACAGTGTCTGATATTATTTCATGTATTATAATTGACTGCGTTACTTTGATTAGTAGCCATATGCGCTATTGTTTTGTATTATTCAGGGCTTGAAACAGATATTTGATACCGATTTTGAATACCGGTTAAAACCGTTAAAAACCAATACCGATATCCGAAACCAAAAACAAAATCGAAAAAAATCAATACCGGTAATCAAAATCGAAATTAAAAAATTTAAAAACCAGTATTCAAAACCAAAAACGAAATCAGACAAAATAAATACCGATATCCAAAACCAAAATCAAAATCGGAAAAAATAAATACTGATAACCAAAACCGAAATCGAAATAGGAAAAAATATTTACGGTTTCAAGCCCTGGTATTATTGTCCTATGTTTAATTTAAAAAGCGGGTAAGTGGCTGTCACTTTGTTGTACAATAAGGTTAGAAGTGAGTCACTGTAATGGATGGTGTTAAATTTGAATTCGATGATATAATAATATGATTACATACAAAAAATGATTCTGAGTAGAGATGATTTGTCAGCCTATAAGATATTTTATATTATATTTATATTGTTATTATTAATACGGTAGCTGGTAAAGTTGAATTAATATTATTTATATATTATAATATTTGTATATAACAGATAAAAGTATATTTTAGAAGTTTCAAGTACTCACAAATTATATTTTTAAATTACAACAAAATAACTATAACCGTTGTACTTGATTTTAATATGTCATTTCGTCCAAATTTAAACTTAAAACAACTATAAAAAATTTGTGTTCAGATATTCTTTAGATTTCCTTGGTAATAGTATAAGCTACTTGCGTGCAACCTTGTTTAAATTTTTATCTAAGCTATACAAATTGAACATTTTATGCATTCTTAACTAAAAATAATTTGTCTAAATTTGGACTTTATAAATGCTTATAAAAAATTCTTGCATATGTCTTTTTAAACTGAAATTGCAACAATGAGGGAGGCGCCTCGTATTACATTTCAAGGGTTTTGATCCAGAGAATAAAATGTTGAATTGAAAATTTAAAATCTATGTTAACAGTTCAAATCTAGTCTACATATGTTGAAAATGTTATCAACTGTAGTCTGTAGAAAATTATAAAAAAAACAAATAGTGTAAATTTCAAGTATCTACGCACGGTTATTCGATTTTGAATTACAACAAATCTATTGGAAAAGATACTGATGTATAAAATCCAACCATTATTTCGACCACTTTTCGTGTACACACACCCAAAATAAAAATTTAATTTAAAAAAACACATCATTAAAAAAAAATACATTCATATATCTGCTCAGAATCTAAAAAACATTAAATTGTAAATTATTTGTTAAATGCAAATTTTATTTTATATTAGGTATTATTTTAGGAATCACTTACGAATATATGAATATATTAACCTTAGAACGTAATTCATTAAAATATGTACGGTTATCTGACTTGGTACGCAAGTCTTGTGCGCCCTAATATACGTACTCGCATATTGTGGTGTATGACGAATGTTATTAAGTACCTACACTATAGTCAACAGGTCTCCAACTGTGTATGTCCCTTTCAATAATTTCTTTTGAAGTCAGATTTTAGAAAATTATTTATTCGGTGATCATAGTTTACTCGCATTTTTCGCTTAATTTTTTAAAGTATAAGAACATTTTAAATTAAAAATAAAATTATTTCCCGATATTTCCACATTTAAGGTAGATGCTGGTATTTTATTCTAAAAATATTGAAATGTTTATAAAAATATAAACATTTTCATTGATTGGGCAGTGTGCACTTCCGCATATTGTGTGGAACAACATTAAACTGAATGATGTTTTTGAACTTAAAATGAATGCAGAAACTTGACAGTAATAATTTGTGAAAATGAAATTTAAAAAAAAACCTTTTAACCGTGTCAAACACATTGGGACGGGACAACTATATATAGCGTGCTATCATAACATTGTGACAGTGACGAGCGTATATATGTGTAATGTGTTTATTGTTATGTATAGTGTGCACATTTCGATTCAACTTTATTGTTGTCAGAAAGCAATTATTTCTTTAGCTAATGACTTCCCATTACACACCTCTCTAAACTTTATAATTTATATTATAATAATATTATGTTAGTCAAACGAACTGGTTGCGCGGACAATTACGTACAAAATATATCAATAAAATTGTCTCTTGATCTGTAATAAAACATTATAATACAGTAATACACAATATCGTTGACTGGATAATAACTTTCGATTCACAGCTCCAGGCTATCTAATACGCAGTGGCACTTGATAAACATTTGTATTTATATGAAAAGTTATTATTTTTTGAAACTCGTCGACCGTTTAATTATAGCTCAATTTGGTCGAAATAATAATAATAATAACCACCAGCGCATTAAATTATGTGTAATTAAAAATAATATGTGTTTTTGTATTATTTGAAATCATGATTTATACCAAACTTACGAGAGACCTTGTTTAGGTATACATATATTCAAGGTTTTTTTACACGCAAACAAACATTAATTATACATAAATCGAAAAGAAAACGAAAAAAGTCATATATTTCATGTATCTATAAATAGCACAAAAAGTTTTTTCTAAATTATTTTTAAAACTATACCAACTATACAACTATACCCATACAAATTAAAAAGTCTAGTACATGCATCGAAAATAAAAATAAATGGACAGGATCATTGAACTCTATATAACTCTATGTGGTAATCATATATTTATTCTCATTACGATTATTTATTTTTGAATCCCATCAAAAAAACAAAATTGATTTAATTATTAGTGGTAGGCATTGCGTAAAAATTAATTTTAATTCCTTTTTTATCTGTCAAAAATACCAAATAGATCTAATTTTTACCAGAAGAAACAACCCTCTAGGCTCTAAGCTGAGAATCGAAACATATTTACTAGTAAAAGACGCATATTATGCATACATAAAATAATAAAACCCACAATATCTGATCAGAATCTAAAAGAATACACCAATTTTAATTTTTATTCTTATTAGATATAATTAATTTAATATTTATTATCATAGTATATAAATCAGCATCTTTTATACCTAATCATAAAAATAAATAATATATTTAAGCTTAGATAACCTAGACAGAGAAACCTAAAACTAATAATAATAAAAGAAAATAATATTCATTTATATTCGTCACTATGAATTTTGATGCCAAATTATTAAGTTGCGGTTAAACAAAAGTATAATTCCGTATTGTCGTATGACTTAATTTTTTTTAGTTATATTTTTTTATTTACTATAATAAGACGTTTACATAAATGTACACAATGTTATCTTAATAGTAACAGTTCACTATATAGTTTCGATATAATTTTGGACGATAAAGAGAAATAACCACCTGAGTAATTTTTTCTGACGAATTACAATTTTTCATACGATTTTGCACTGATGCAATTTGTACAATAATCACGTACTTCGTTAAATCGTAATAAAAATCCCCATTAACAAATAATAACAAAATTGCACACTTATCGCTATCCTCAACATTATTAATCAAACTTTTGTGGAGTTGTGAGAAATGGCAATGTTATGATCACTTTGTAAGACACTGAGGCATTTGAATAATTTATAAAACGTGTACATAATAATAATATATAGGTACACACACCATTGTAAAATAAATACACTCATCGCTCCGCTCAGAATCTAAAACATTATTTAACATATTTTTAAACTGCATAATATTTTTAATTATTTAAATTAGTGACCCCGCAATAATATTCTATGTAAATAATTCCCATTTAAAAATACATTTATATAATATTATATCTTATATTTAAGTAATTATTTTGAAGCTTTAAAAAAAATTAACTATTTAAAAAATCAATATTATAAAAAAGTAATTTAAGCTACATGCATATATATTATAAGTAATTGTAATTCAATTATAATTCATTATTCATTATTTAAACAAAAAAATATGTATCTGAATAAAATATTTCCTTCAAATATCAGTAATTTATTGAATATTTGGCTTTGGAAAGTAAATTAAATAAATTGAAAACGGTCAGGTCGCGATTCATGTTATACCGTCATCGTCACACTTTAGATAAAATGCGATTATTATTGTACTTCACAACTTTTATATATTAGAGCTTGAAGCTTTGATACTTAAGTGGGATATTTTAATTTCGCCCGATTTCGGGATACTTTTTCGGAGATAATTTTGATTCGTGGATATTTCGTCTTGTCATCATGTGTGTCAGCATACAAAAACTTCGGACGCGCATGTAGGACATGACTACAGAAATATTGTGATGACTTGTTTATCTTCGTAATTAAAATATGGATAACGTTGTGTTGTACTTGTGTACTTAAACTACCTATTAATGTTTGGATGTTTGTTTTTCCGCAGCATGAGTATCTGACACAACCGCAGATGGCATACAAGTACATATCACTTCCGTCGGCCGTTGCTCTGCAACAGTCGGGTAAATTCGAAGAGCCGTCCACGTCGGGTTACAAGTACCTGGCCGCGTCACCCACGTATAAGTACGTACAACCACCAGCGGTGACCACCGAACCGGAAGCCGCGGAGGAGCCAACCAACTCGTTGAAGTACGCTCTCAAATACGAACAGAACTCGTTTAAGCAAGAACAGGAACAGCAGCAACAGTTGCAGCAGCAATTCCAGCAGCAAGATTACGAACAGCCTGCTGTACAGTACAAGTACATAGCCGTTCCGTCGTACAAGTACGTGCAACAAGTGGCCGCGGAACCAGAATACGGTCAGCATCACCAGCAGCAGCAGCAACAGGCTGTTTCTTACGACTACACCGATGACAAGCAATAATAAACTATAATATAGTATAGGACATAGGTAATAACAACGGCGATTATCATTTAAGGTCCCAATGCCTTAGGCAACGGTGTATTGAACTTAAAAAATTGGCAGAGGTGCCCGTTTTTTATTACTAATGTTACCACTTGAAATCTCTAAACATATTAGCATTAAGTATCAGCTGCAGTTTGTAACGAGCCGCAGCATCCGACAATACAAGATAACAATATGACACTCCCTTAAAAAAACACCTTTGTCACCTCTCAAATACCTCCTTCGTAACGCTGTTGCCCAAATTCGCCTGCAATATAACCACGTTGCTCACCATTTTAGCCCACCACTTCGATCTACACTCTTACTCTTACAACATATTATATATATAATATAAATATTTAACTTTTGTGAGTGATAATTTAAAAATAATATAATCTTACGTTTGACGTTTAATAGTCTGCGTTACGTTTTACGTTTGTTGTTTAACCGCGCAGGGACCATCTATATTTCTCTATCTTTCTATCTGTGTTGTTCATTAAATTACGCCAATGATTATATTTTAGGTATATGATATGATTATATTATTGTTATTTTTTTTACCATGTTTACCATTTTTGCCATGTTTGCCGTGTTGTACGCGTCCCTCTGAAACACATGTAGAGGTTTAATGGCTTATTCTTCTTATATTATATAATACAAATACGAATACATATTTTTGTATACTTTAATTAGGTATAGTATAATTATTTTTTAGTATATATATATTATATATTTGCATATGTTTATAATATAATATACGCAGTACTTCCGTTTATATATGTTCCATTATTTTGATGATGAGCCGCAGTTGCACAAAATCGTGTTGATTAGATGGTTAGGAATATCAATCCTAATAACCTATCATGCAGCTAAATACCTATATCTATAAAACTCTTAAATTTTAATTTGAAACTACCTTCGGTAGAGCTACTTTGTTAAATAGGTACAACGAGTTGTGGATAAAATAGTACCTTGTAACAGGGGCTAGTACAAGGGAATAGGAACTTAAATTTGTAATATTAAATTTTTTTTAATATATTTAGTCATTTTTATCTTACTAAAATGTTAAGCTTAATATTACAAAGTCCAAAGTTGTTTTTGTTGTTATTGTCCAAAGTTGGGGCTGTCTAAAGCTTTTTCACATGTTAAAAATGTAATTTATGTTATTGCAAAGAAGAGAGACAGTATTCTCTATCCGAGTTTGAAAGATATTTTAAAAATGCTTCTGATGCAAATTGGTGAAGAAAATATATGAGTACTTTGTTTACGCGGTCGTTTAATAGGACGTTGTAATATTGAAACAACCAATCTTATAAAATGGTATAGAAATATAGAATAATTATTTTGTATCCGGTCATAAACAGCATTTAATGAAAAATTCGATGAAGTGCCTTTAGAAAGAATGCCTTTAGAATCTTTCATACCAACATAAATTTATTAATATGATGAAGCCAGTAGCAGCAATGGTATATTATTGTAAAGATTGTAATGAATTAAAAATGGACGTAAAATCTAAAATACTTTTTGGAAAAATAAATGGTAATTAAATAACTGAAATATTCAGAAATTATGTATTTTTCTGATTTATAGTCAATCTATATGATAGTATTATCTATTAGTAGTAAGATAATAACAATTAATGTTATATTATTATACACACATTTTATGAAAACGGTTTTGTGATAAAATCAGTAGCTTGCTGGTCTTACTTCTGCTTTATAAAAAAAACAACATATAATTACAATAATAATTAATATTACATTGATGCCTATGTAAAATGAATGACGTTTCGTTTCATTATAAATAACAATTATTTAACCATAATCATTTAGTAGGTATGCAAGTTTATAGGCAAAAAACCCGTAGTAATTTAGGTGTATTATTAGTTATAATTTATACAGCCATTAAAATGGCATTGCTATATATAAAACGTAGGTACCTATATTAAATCGTATTTTCTACAGCATTGATAATAGTATAAAAAATAATTGACTATTGTGTGTTCATTAACCAAACAATGAAACATGCGGTTTTTTAATTTTTGCGTATAAACGTGTGGTTTGTAACAATGACCCTCGTCATTTTTGTTTCTTGTTAACCAAATCTTAGATATTTTTGTGACGATTTGGGACATTCGTATAACATTAATGTACAATTATCAAAAAATAAACAAACGATAACTTGTGAGCGCCAAAACCTTCATCGCTTATAATATTATTTTGATCAAATTAAATGTTTTTTTTTTTACTAATCGTGACTAATTGACACTAGTATTAACCTTATTTTAATTTGGCATAGCTATAATATGGTTTATTTTTACTGAAATCGAAACAAAATCATGTTTTACTGGATGTACACGGGAAATGACGGTAGTATTCAATAGTACCTACCAATATTGATCATTGTTACTGGTCCAATAATTGATGTCTAAAGTCGCAAACACGGTAACTTCAATACACGGTAGGTACGTCATGATATTATTATTGTACCTGGGGAAATCAAAACAGATTCAATTCAATGACTCACAATTATTTTTTAATATAATATAATATTTTAACCTTGTAAATGGACAGATTGAAATGAGAAAACCTGTTCTAGGGATCTCTGACTACGAATAACTGCAAATTAGCAAGTAGGTGATAGTGTGGAGAGTGGGGAATGACGGTCAGACGCAAAAACCGGTCATACAGGAGTACAGGACCTGGGTAATGTCAAAGATTAAGATTGATCAAAATCTGTTGTATCTTGCAGCAGATTTCTTATTGTAAGCTAAAATTATCGTTCCCACCGTATTATGTTAACAACTGATAATAGAATTTTTTGTTTTCCTTTTTTTCGAAGTGTGCGTTGTTATAATTGCACTTCAAAAAAAAAAACTATAATAAACGTTTATTTCATCTTATTGAGATAGTTATTAACCTGTTGAATGTTAATGTTATGTAGTTTAAGTTGCTTTCAGTCTGGGCCTGGGATTGGTATGTATAGGCCCATCGAGATTTTCAGTTATATAAGCGGCCCATTTACATATTCAGTGGCCCAAAATTACGTCTATAATTATTATTACAAGCTTATAGGTGGCCAATCGTATTTTAAACATGAATTTATTTTCATACACACTCACACGACCAAACTTCAAGCGGCCCACCGAGATTTTCTCGGTAGCTCGCCTAACCAATCCAGCCCTGCTTGCAGTTTATAACCGCTTGGTTAATTTATTTATTGAGATACCATGCAATTAAAACTTATTTATATTCGGCCAAAACTGATCACTCAAAATTACATAGGTGACTGGTTTAAAAATACAGATTTAAAGGTGTATTTTTTATTCTTTTGTTATTTCTGAAATAAAATGTCTCATTAGTTTGAAATATTTTATTTGTTTATTAATATATAATAATTTGAAAACAAAATGCATTTTTACAAAAAATTAACATGATTTAAAAAAACAATTCTATTTCCAATCTATTTACATGTGTTTTAAACAAGACCACTATTACTCCCCAGTTAGGGTAATACCTGTCATTTGCAGTTTTTTAAAAAAAAAATTAAAATAAAATATAAAAATCTCAAATTCCAATATGTTGTAGCCTATAAGTTTATAAATCAATATTGAGGATTGACTTAAGTTTCGGAGTTCTGTTTGGTAAGAGTTTTCCCTTAGGTGACCGCCATTCACCCTCTCACCCCTACCTAAGAAGCACCTACCGAAGATATAAAATATTATAAATACAAGACGTGTGTTTTTTAGTTATTTTTCCCTAAGACCCGAACTTTTGTTGGTGAATCCCTTCACAACGATTTGAGTAGTTGACTATATATTATTATTTTTATTATTATACTTTTCTCACAAAATCAAATATTGATGATATTATTATAGAAGTTTAATAAACACAGTAGCTATAAATGCTGATCATATTGTACTGCATATTAGTTGTTAGGCGCATATTAAGTTGTATTTACCTAGGTCTAAGTGGATATATTATATAGCTAAGTACATTATATATACGAATTATGTGGGCAAAGTATAAAATATTGTAATGTTAAGATGTGTTATACGATTTCCACTGTGAACGATATTGATGTTGGTTATCATCTTAGGTAATACATACTGGATAGAGTACAGATATCTATATAGTACTAGATAGTGGAACTCCCACAATGAATTGAAGCATCATGGTCGGGGGCAATTGTATAGTATTTTATATGGTAAATAAGATTAATTATGATTTATCTTATATTATGTTTTATTATTTCTAAACCTGTTGTTTTTAAAAAATAAAAAATATTTTATATAATAGTCCTTTTACATTTACTAGGTACCTACCTATTTTATTTTTCCATTTAGAACGATGTTATTCCTAATACATTTTGTATAATGAATGAAATGTTTTTCCCCACCGAGAAAATGGAGGCTGAGCTTCACTCTATAACAATGTAAATTATATAGGAATACCTTATCTAGTTAGTATATAGAGATATCTATGGGATAGAGCTATGCATATATCATTCGTAGTCTGTGCTTGAAGCCGATTTGGCCAGTTCGGCCCCAATGAATTTATTGCTCATGCTTCAGAAATGAAAAAGATAACATATAATTACGGTAATGTTTTGCGCATGCTCAGTTGCGGGGCCGAATGGGCCGACCAAATCGGCTTCAAGATTTTAAATCTTATAGCTCTATTCAGTCTGTATTATCCAAAGTTATCATAATAAATTATTAATATTATTATGAGTATCGTATAGCGAATAATATTATGATTTGGGGGCACTAGCGTTTCCTATTATCAAAACCATTAATATATTTTAATATTGTAGCAACAGTCATTATAGTTAGCATAATATAATAATATGTAATATTGCTGCTGTGTGCCTGTGTGCATTGGTATACATCGGTAGTTGGTGTGCATATTTATTAAATTAAGTTATACAAAATTAAATTTAATGAATAATGATATATTATAACGTTAAAATGTTAATTA